AGGTTTAACCTCGAGTTTCCTAAACTGGTTTCCCGGGCTCATTATCCCAATCCACAAAGGGGCTCAGAATAAGAGGAGCCTAATCCGTACTTCCTCGCGAACTCACTTTTTATTTTTTTTTTCGAAGGGAGAGGCATACAAGGATACATCATAATTACAATAGCATGATCATCACAACTCTATCGAAACATATCACAAGTGCATAGATAACACGTTTACAACAATAATCGAACATAAGAAAGCATGCCTCAAGACAATCAATCGAGAACAAACAAGGGACGAAACAATTTTGTGAATCCACATGCGGGCTCCAGTGTCAACGAATCATCAATCAATTTTAGGACACTGTCCAATTCATCAAGCACATAAAGCATGGACGTTAGCAATGAAACCAATCAACGATCTCAACTCACCACTTAGCTGTTTCGACTATCGAACAAACATCAAGCTTCATGCGAGAGAGATGACAAAAACACACAAAAACTCAAATGAAACCGGTCCAAGACACAAAATATACGAAAAATAATGCACTAAAAATGAAGAAAATATCACCTAAACATGCATAATCACGAAAATCCCTCCCCTACATTTAAAACAAAGCAATGTCCTCATTGCTTGACCAAAAAGCATAGGATCAAGCACATAATCACACAAGTTCATGTGAAAGAAAAAAAGCAAAACAAACACACGAAAAGAAAACAAACACAAGAACACACAAGAAACAACTAAAGAAAAAGAAAAGAACATAGGAAAAGAAAATACGTACTCTACACGGTGGTGGCCACCACCGCACGTCTAGTGGTGTTCGTCCGGTGGGAATAGAGAAAATAATCCAAAATCAATCGAGCACAACATAAAGCCATCCAAACGGCTAGGCGTCGAACACATGAAACCATACGGGCCACATTTATGTGTCTCGGAGAGATGATATACGTGCTTCCATGAATTCGACGAAGACACACGTATACGTGAAAGCTCAAAATATCGGGCATATAATATGCAAAGTATAAGAGAGTCCCGTACTTTGGCCCCGAATAAAGGCTACTTGCGTGCATCTGAAAGAAATAGTAATCGCGAATCCATAAACTCGACGAAAATGCACGTATGCGTGAAAGCTAAAAATATCGGGCCTCAAGGTTGTCAACGATACTCGCAATAATATAACACGGCCAACTCCTCTTTTGAATCAACGCACGAATCGATTACCGGCGCTTGCTGTAAATAGCAACCTTCAAACTCAAAAATCCGACAACAACACAAAAAGTTGGCACGCCCGGCAAGACGTGCCTATCACACGAGTCCAACTCCAATCACCCACCACGACTACTCCGGCAAGAATAGTAGTCCAAAGGTCGACACCAAAATTAAAAGTCAAAGATAGG